GGGGGGAGGTGAAGAAAGAGAGGAAGGAGATGATGCAGGGATAGAGAATAGGGCGACAGAGAAGGGTAGTGTCACAGAGGAAAGAGAGATAACGAACGGAAAAGAAAAGATACAGAGACTCAGGGGTGTAGAGAAAGAGAGATGAGTTGAGAATCACAGAAACACATAAAGGGCCTGAGGAAACTTTTGTTTTGTTTTGTTTTGTTTTGTTTTGTTTATTTTGCGGTACGCGGGCCTCTCACTGTTGTGGCCTCTCCCGTTGCGGAGCACAGGCTCCGGACGCGCAGGCTCAGCGGCCATGGCTCACGGGCCCAGCCGCTCCGCGGCATGTGGGATCTTCCCAGACCGGGGCACGAACTCGCGTTTCCTGCACTGGCAGGCGGACTCCCAACCACTGCGCCACCAGGGAAGCCCCTGAGGAAACTTTTGGGGTGATAGTTCATTATCTTGACTGGGGTGATGGTGGGAAGTGTGTGAGTCGAAACTCATCACATTGTACACATTAAATATGGTACATTTATTGTGCCTCAGTTTTACCACAATAAAGCTGTAAAAAAAAAAATAAAGCAGAAAGAGACACTGGGTGGGCGCCTTATACGGAGAGAGATTCAGAAAGATTCCGAGGGAAGCGGAACACAGAGAGAAGGAAAGTTGAGAAGGGGGGCGGAGGGAGGTAGAAAGAGTGAAGGCACGGGGAAGACAGAAAAACACTTGGCGCCAAGGGCGCTCCAGAGCTGCTGAGACGCCAGACCTCCGGAGACCCCTCCCCATCCCGGGGCCAGGGAGGTAGGGAGTGGCCTTCGGGACTGGGTGGGGGGTGCTCTGGGGGTGGAGACGGGGGGAGGCCGGAGGAGTGGTTGCTAAGGCCCGGCAGGGCGCCTCACTACCCGGGAATGCGCCCCAGGCATCGGTGGGTCGTTACAACCCAGGCCGGGTGCCGGGAGCGGAGGCGTAGGCGGCTGCAGGACAGCGGCGGCGGCGCTGGGAGCGGGTTCCCCACCTGGGGGACGTGG